TTTACACGGCTTATGATCACATCTGTGTGTGGTTAAGATATTGCTACCCATATGTTATAAGAACGGCATCCAGGAATACTCCTTCTACGCACAGCATTGACTGTTATTACTGGAAGTGTGTGGGTAGTGGAAGAGAGGAAAGGTTTGAGATGCATGTAGCCAGAAGGAAGTGTGCTGAAGATTCTTCCAGGCATCAGACGTGTAAAACTAGAAGCCAAAGATTTGGTTTTTATTCAAATAGTGTCAAAATGGAAAAAATTACTTAATAATGCAATATACATGATTAGAAATGAATCATATACTATTTTCTCGTTTGAGAGGAATCTTGTGAAGTAGTTTATCAGAATTTCTGTATGTAGGACACAGACCTGTAGTATATTTTATGCATCCTAACTATCAATAGCAAACAACCAATTCCAGAGAAAAGACTGACTTATTCTTTTTACTCTCTTTATAGAAAATTAAAAGTTAAAAATCACTGTCATAGAAGAAGCAAACACAGATAGTTAATTTATGGGGTGGCCAGTTAGCTCAGGTGGTTAGAGTGCAGTGTTCATAACACCATGGTTGCCTGTTCGATCCCCACATGGGCCACTGAGTTGCGTCCTCCACAACTAGAATGAAACAACTACTTGACTTGGAGCTGGTGGGCCCTGGAAAAACACACTGTTCCCCAACTAAAAAGAAAATTTGCAATTTGTTGTCATTTATTTTTCATTCTAAGTAAATATTCACTTTGTCCCTAATTTTGCACTTTTATTTTGAAATTCATTTTCTTAAAAAGCAACCCATGAGCTATAGGCCCCATACAAGAGGGTCTAGGGTAAAGTTGCCAGATTTAGCAAATAAAAATACAGGACACCCAGTTCACTTTGAACTTCAGATGGAGAAGCACTGAAATACATTTATCTGCAATTCCAAGTTAACTGAGCATCTTGTATCCATCCAATGGGCATATGAAAGAAACAACAGTCAACTCAACCAGGGTGGGGGAAGGAATCAAAATTATTCATATAGACCTAGTCCATTTTGTCCAGATCTCTCAGTAGGCCACACTTTGCTCAATTCATTGGAGCTTCCATTCCCGTAGAAGGCAATGAGTACAGTGCCCTCTGGCGTGCTGAGGAGAAGAGGAGGGAGAAGAGAGGAAGGAAGTCACATTGCAGCTACGTCTTGAAAGTTGGGGAGGTGTTTGCAAGGCAGAAAAGCAAGGGCAGCACTTCTAGGTGAGGGGGGCAGTGAGGTCTGGGGGGCTCATCAGGAGAGATGAGGCTGGAGATGTGGATAAGGTCCGGACTGTGACGGGTCTGGAGTGCCATGGGAAGGGGCCTATGCTTTATCCTGGAGGCCCCCAGGAGCCATGCTGGGAGTTTTAGGCTGGGGAGCACCAGGACTGGGTTTGCGTTTTAGAAAGTCTGACTGCTCAGGAGAGGATAGGTCTTTGGGCCTGAGACCAGGTCAGTGATCCAGGTGAGGCAGGCAAATGCTTAGGCTCTCACCATTACCTCTCCCCAGCTCCCCTTCCCCTGTCTCCACAGGGGCTGTCTCATGGCATTTGAGCTATTAAAGCCATTGACATAAGGTGTCAAACAGGATCTGAGGCTCTAGGTCAGTAGGCCTTGACTGAGAGCCCTGTGGGAGAAAAAGAAGGGAAATCCAGCTTGATATAGCAGAGGTGCCCCAGGTGGATTTGTCCTCCCCTCCCCAGGAGCGGCCAGTTTGGATTTCCTCAGGTCATAGACTTCCCGAGTAAAGGCAAGTCAGAACAGCTTGGCTTGGGAGAGTTACATCACCTCCCCTGCTAAACAGGCTTAAGGCTCCCCACAGCTTTCTGTTCTGTTCCTCTCCACCTGATCCTGAGATGAGAATGTAGCACAGGGTGAGAAACGGCCCTGAGCCAGAAGTCAGGAGATGGAGGTTTGAGAGAGCATCCACTTTCTTGCTGTGTGACAGAAGGGCTGGTTCACAGCCCCATTTGTCCATTGCTGTAAAGGGAATGTTGAACTGGGTTCTCGTTGGTATTTTTTCTAACTCTCATTTCTAAATCCCAAACAGAGGAGACAGTTTTTAGGTTTAAGGTCCCCCAGAACTGAGAAATAATTTTTCCCCCGCCCCCCGCCTTTGGCTTTATTTTCAAAGCTATATACAAATTCTAAACATATCATTACAATCCAGATATATTTACCAAGACCTTTAAATAATTATATTCTTTATACTCTTTGTTTTTAAGTCCGTATTTACTTGCTAAATGAATATGCATCCATCAGTATCAAGATTTCTTTCTTTTACAGATCCTTTCTCTATCATAATTTCTAGTGTTGCATAGTCCTCACAATGATGGGTTCTACCTCTAATGTAACCAAAATTATTCAAATAAACCTAATCCATTTCATCTAGATCACTCAGTAGGGCCACACTTTGTTCAACTCCGCGAAGCCTCATTCTCATAGAAGGTTGTGGGCACGCTGCCCTCTGGAGATGAGCATTGCCTGGCTCACTGTTTTATTATTATTATTAGTTTCAGGTGTACAAAGCAACATCATAGTTAAAATTTACACCCCTCCCAAAGTGATAACCTCTCTCCCCGTCGACTCACTTTTTTTCAGAGCTCCAGAACTTAGCACTTAGCCATAAGCAGCTTGCACTCTTTTATGGAGAGGAAATTGCCCTGGTACCACCATGAGCAGTTCATGAAGTTGGAGTGAATCCTGAGTGGGGAGAGGGGATTGGAAACTATGAGAGAGCTGTGTCCAGCACACATCGTCACTCAGAGCATTCTTCATTCTGGCTCTCTGGTATTCCTTCCCGTTCTTTCTGCTTCCCTATTTAATGAACAGAAGATAGAGCTCTGGTATCCCAAGGATGGGCCAAATGGTTCTAGAAGACTCAATTCTAAGGCTAGACATAACCCTACGTCTATGGATCAAAACCACAGTTTGATTGCAGTCCTGGGAGGGGGGCCGTTCCATCTCAGTCTATACTCTTATTTTTTATATTAAGTGTTAGGCAGTAAGCTTAGGATGGAGAGAAATCATTTTTTTTTATTGTCCTTCCTTCCTTTCAGTTTAGGGGCTGAAAGTTAATAGCAAAGCTTATCATTTTCTAGTCTCTTATTATGTGCCAGGCACTGTGTTAAGAGCTTAATCATTTATTCTACACACCATGCCTGCATGATGACTATTCAGTAGGCATAATTAGCACCGTTTTGCAGATGAATGAACAGGCACAGAAGTGAACTGGCTTGCCTTCAGTCTGAGCCGTAGGGAGCAGAGGCACTCAACCTCGACTGGGCTGACTCCAGATCTGTAGTCCCAGCCACCATGATACCCTGCATGCTGGAGGGGAGCTATAAACACATCACATATTTTTCCTCCCTCTGTGAGCTTCCTGACATCACATCTTTGCCCTGAAACGGAAGCTGGGTCAGAACACACAGTCTGAGCACAGGGGATGAATGTGGGGTGAAAGTCATGTCAGCACAGACAGTTATGCAATCCTCTCATCTGTGCGGCTGGGCCACCATCTGTGAGCTATAAGCCAGGCAGCTCAGCCCTGATGGGACCCAGCACCCAGATCTCCTGCCCACCCCCCTCCCCGGGGAAGCAGAGGTAGGGGTGGTAAGATCTCTGAACTCAAGAGTGGCTCTTTCTCTCCTCTCCAGAGGAAGCAGAGAGCTTATGTTTAATTCCTAAAGGAGGTATCTTCTTCTTTTCCAGGCACCTGGCACACAACATCGGGATAAATAATATTTGTTGAGTACTGGATCAACTCCAATAGCTAATTCAAACCCTCACACTTTACCTATTTTATCACACTTCGGAAAGGTCTTAAGTAGCCTGTCCAGTGTCTCGTACAGAAAGGACAGTCAGGGTTTAAATCCAAAGCTACCTGTGACCACTACAATCTGCTGTTGCCTTCAACATGTTTTATTTCATTTTGTCCAAGATCCTGACGGCAAGGCTTGCAGCCCCTGGGCCTCCTTTCCCTTGCACCCACCCCCATAAGAAGTCCCCAGTCCTCCCTGTCCCTCTTCCTTCCCTGCCAGGGCCCTGCCCACCTGCTACAGGAGAGTCAGCTCCAGCCCACAGGACCAGCCCACTGTCCAAAGGGCCCATGGAGTCTCTTGTAATTGCACCCCATCCCAGAGTTGCTTCATTTGTTTATTTTGAGAGGTTGTGTTTAGGGAGGAAACGTTTTATACCCTATCTTTCCATCACCACCACCCCAAACCCCGATCCTTGGAGAATTCATGGTGTGGTGTAGAATTTGTGTAAAACGTAATATAGGTGCAGGTCTTCTGGCCCAAGAGCAAGGATTTCAGGCTCTGGCCCTGGCTCTGCTCTCAATTCCCTCTACTTCCCAGTTGCCTTTTCTCTCTCTCTGCATTAATTGAGAATGAAAACCCTTCTAGGGACAAGATGAAGAGGAATAAGATGATGTCCAAAGAAATCTTTGCATTCCCAAGGGAAATAAATGTTCCCCATGAAGTTAAACAACATAATGAATGTAAAGCATTTAGTTAGTGCCTGACACCTTGTAGGTGCTCAATAGCTGCATGAGGCATTGGGCAGGTGGGGTGTGTTGGAGTCACTGGCACCTGCAGAGTCTCACAGGGCTGGCTGCTCACAGGGTGTGGCCATCAGGAGAGCGCTTTCCTGAGTTTGCCTGCCGGGTACAGTTGGTGGCATGCCTCAGCTCTCAGGAAAGTGACCTAACTTGGATTTTTCTGTATGGACACAGAATTGCAAAAAAAATGCTCATTTGCATATAGATGGGGAGCTGATTTTTCCTAGAAGCTGCATGTCAAGACCCAGAGAAAGAAGCGTTTCTTAATAATGATTAATCAGCTGTATCTCAAATAAGAAAGAAAAGAAAAACAATTAAGGAAATGAAGTGCCAAGGAAACAAGGGAAAAAACAATCACCCCAAAGTGGACCCACCCAGTAAACCTTGACAGCATTTCCTCTTATCCACCTGCATAAAAGTGACCAGCCCTTTCCAAGCAGCAGAGAGCACCCAGAGAGAAGACACAGGAGCAGCCTGAGCACCCAGGGAGAGGTGAGCCTCATGCCAGCCGCCATCAGTGGCTTTTATTCATCTTCAGACTAGCCCGCATCCTTCACAGCCACAGAGAGGTGACCTGTCATGATTGTGTATGGCCTATGATATCCCAGGTGCTGGGTATTCTGTAGACCGTGGAGGGATATTCCATACAGAGGAGGAACTTTCTGGTACCTTATTCTCAATAAGAAGAGATGGAGAGTAGAAAAGAAGGGAGGGAAATCTAAAGTTTACTATTAATTTTTATTCTAAGAGCTAGGCTGGGCACTTTATAATATATCTTCTTTTAAATCCTTTGCAGTATTAAGTCTCTTTTTAAATGTAAGGAACATCACTGGTTCAGTTGACCCGGTCAGAAATGCATTTCCTTCCATCTGGTGTAAGGGGAGCTGCTGGGATCCCCAGCTGCAATTCCAGAGGGAGCAGAGCTGTCAGTAGGATGGCGTAGGGCTAAGGAGAGAGGGCCAGCCTGTCTGCCTTTTAATCCTGGCTCTGCCACATGGTGGCCATGGACCTTGGGCAGGTTACTTCACTTCTTTAAGTTTCAGTCCCCTTTTTGGCAAAACGGAGTTAGAAACAGAACCTACATTACAGGATGGTTGTCAGCATTAAATGATTGCGTAGAATGCTTGGTACAGTGCCTGACACATGTGGCGTGCATGATAAGTGTTAGCTACTGCTGTTACCTGGATCTGCCAAGATGTCTGGAATAGCCTCACCAAGCTAAGGAAGACATCTTTCTCCTCCACAAGATGTCTGGGGCTCCCGGCACGGGCAAGCAGGCAGTGTCCCAATGCTCCTGACAGTTATCTTTCCAGAAGAAAAACTGTGCTCTCTTCTTAGTCACTTGGCTTTCTAGAAGCTCCCCAGTCACCTTTAGAGGGGATAGAGCTCTGGGGGACTCTACAGACTGTCCTGCCAGTGAGGTCTATATTTTTGTTTTGTCAGAAAGAGAGAGGTTGCAAAAGGAGAAACCAAGCTCTTTAGGATAATGCCTGCTACATGGTGAGGCCTCAGCACACACCTGCTCTCTCACTGGGAGTGATGCTGAGTTGACGAGAGTTAAGGCAAAATGCTTTACTAAACAGGACTTGCTGTTTCTTAGCTTTTTGGAGAAGAGCCTGGGAACCCCAGGGAAGATCTGGGGAGCGGTGGTGGGGAACGGGGGCAGTTGGAGCTCATACTCCCACACATACGTGCTTTATAGTTAGAGCAACTGTTAACTATAAGTAGCGGGGGGAGGGGGGGCGCTCCACAGCCCCCTCAGCTGGCTTCCTATGTTCAGTGTCCCCCTCTCCTTCACTGCCACACACACTACACACACCCCAGCACACACATAGCTGGAAGTGAGAACACTGGGTGGGTACTACCAAGGATGCTGGGCAGAGAGGGCTGGTCTAATCACATACGTTGTTGTAAGACTTATCTTTAAGGCTAAGCTCTGTTTGTGAAACGTGGGCTACTAGTGGGGAAAGTCAAAGAACGAGGACTTAACAAGCTGTACAGTTATGTTTTGTGCCACGTTTGTCAATGCGTGTTATATGATACCATTTAAAGTGGTTAAATGAAAGAGGTGCAGAAAGACCAAGCAGGAATGGTGAGAGAATTAGAAAAGGCAGCGTGGGCACCTCAGGCTCTGGCCCTGTCTAGGGACTGGCTAGCTGCAGACATGTCCCTCATACCCCCTGGCTCAGTGGGGAACAGAGGGGAAGCCCCCACTTGCCCTCTGCAGGGGTAGCGTTCCAGTTTCTCTTCACTGTGGCTAATTAGTTATTAGGAGATGTCTCCCGCCTCCCTTTCTAATCTTCTTCAGAATGCGACATCTTCATAGTCGGCTTCAAACAAAGGATTTTCAGCAGATATGCAGTCAGGGCTTATAATAAAAGGGTGTTGCCTATATCGGGGGCAAATATAATAAACCAAATGTGCTTTTATGGTTTTTCAGATCTGTTGCCTAATTCCAAGGGTGGATGACCAACCCTGTTTTTCCTATTTAATTGATTAAAAACAATGCTTTTCACCCCTGTGGATAAAGTGAGTTGTGTTGAGTCATAATAGAGTGACATGCACACAAATACATTCCCTGGGACTTGAGAGAGCACTGTATTTTCCTTCCTGGGGTGGAGGTGGAGGCATGGGGGGCAGGGACGGAGGGAGGGCACATTCAATTGATTCAAGAAAACCAGAGGAGGAGGAGACACATGCCCCTGAACTCCGCTGGCTGAGGCATTGAGTCTGTTCTCTTGGTTGCTGCCTGGCCTGCCAGTGAGGTCCACAGGAGAGCTCAGTCAGGAGCCTCTTTCATCGCTCTCCACTTCTGACTGGACATCTGCTTTCTACCTTTCTTGCAGGACATGAAGGCACAGCACGTTTCCCTCTGCCTCCTGGGCACAATGCTTTTCCTGGGCTCAGTGCACGCTCGAGGTCTCAGGAGATGTCTGGTTTCCATGGACATGCACCATATAGAAGAGAGTTTCCAAGAAATCAAAAGAGCCATTGTGAGTACGGGTTCAGGTGTGGAGGTGCATGGGTAAGGTGAAGGTGTGGGCGTGGGAGGCTGCCTACCTTACCTCCTAACTTGAAGAGCAAGTTCCTTCTCATCATCTTTTGTGTCTCAGACATGGGGTACTCATCAGTTTTGTCTGTTCCTATGTTTCCTCCATAGCAAGCTAAGGACACCTTCCAAAATGTCACCATCTTGGCCACATCGGAGACCCTGCACAGCATTAAGGTACTGGCCTGTGTCTGCTCTTTCCTACGTTGCTAGTTTGACAGTGAAGTAGCCCTGGGCTGAGACAGAAACCCACATCCTGCCTCTCCTCTTTCCTAATCTCCAGCGTACTCTAAATGCACCTGGCTTCTCATCAAGCAACTGATGTGTTAAAGCACATTTGTGTCTCAGGGACTTCGAAACCCTTGGGAGCCATTGTTCTGTTGTTTGTGTCTGTGAGGGTTTTTATTTGTTTGTTGGTTGCTTTTTGTTTTATATCCTCATAGATACAAGTAATAGAATGGTGGTTACCAGAGGGAGAGGGAGGGAAAGGAAGGTCAAAGTGGATGAAGGGGCTCAGCTATATGACTAGGAGGCTAGGCTTTGGGTGGTGAGCACAAACTTGAGCATACAGGTGTCATATTATAAAGTTGTACACCTGAAATTTATGTAATTGTTGTTTACCAATGTTACCCCAATACATTTACCAAAAAAGAAGCCCCTGGGAGGAAATAAAGAAGTATCACTTAACTAGCAAGTGATTGAGGTGCCACCTGCTCAAATGGGACAGGATATCTATGGCTTAGAGTGATTCTAGAAGGTTTCATGGGGAAGCCAAGAAAATGAGCAGTGACTTAAAAGCTGAGTGGGTTGTGGGTTAGTGGATAAAAGAAAGGAAGGGGTTTGGGGAGCATGAACGAATGGGTGTATAAGATCAATGAATGTGTGTCAGGGGACAGTAAGGCAATCAGACTTGTGGTGCAAAGGATGCGAAGGTGAGTGGAAGAGGATGAGGTGGAAAAATACATTGAAGCCATTTTCCAAGAATCTTGAACACCAGGCTGAGCCTCGACCTTATAATAGAAGCAATAGGGAGTCCCTGTAGGTTTTTCAGCCAAAGGCTGCAAGACCACAAAGGCAACCTGGTGATGTTCTTCACAATGGACAACTCAAGGCAAGAAAGCCTCTATGGAGATCAGTCCAATTATCCAGATGAGAGGGTGATAAGAGTAAGTGTGTTACAACACAGTTGGCTTATGAGGTGATAATTCATTTTACAGAAAGGGCAACCAAGAACTACCTTTAAAAGTGAGCTCTTTCAGTCCTTGTAAGAATTCTAGAAAGATTTTTTTTTCCAGGTATTTCTATGTGACAGAGTGTAAGGTATATTTGCAATGAGCTACTTTTTCCTTGGACTCCTCTGCACGAAAGAATTCTTCTAGGCAGTATTGGGCTGAATTTATTTGTGACAAACAGATGTAGCCTCTTACTAAATGCTATTCCAGCCAACTGTATAAGAGACTCATAGGATATCACAGCTGGAAGTGACCCTAAAGACCATCTATTCCAAAACCATCATTTTCAGATGAGCAAATTAATATCTTGGGAGGGAGAATGACAAGTTAGAGACTGAGTCAGGGTTAGAGCCACATATCTCGTTCCTCTGTCTCCAGATTCTTATCCTCTCAAGGTCTAGAAATAGCTGAAGTAGAATAAGGAAAGGGGTCAATGAGGGTGCAGGTCTTTATCATATGCCTCCTTGATTAAAGCAAAGGTGTGCAACTTTTTGCCCCTTTGGTTAAGGGAACCAGCAAGAGCAATGGAAGAGAGGGGTTTTTGTATTGCAAGTAGAGTTTGCCATCTAGGAAATGCTACCCATGGGGCCAAGGAGGTTTTGCTGCCTTAATGCTAATGAAGTTGGATGCAGTATCCTGCTACAGATCCCTTCCTTCTCAGACTGAGCTATAAATCTGCAGAGTAACCCATTGACTCTCAGGGTGGGGTGCAAACTGCTAGAAGGAGTCTCAGCCTGGCCATCTGCTGTGAGCTATGCCATGGGAATTCAGGATCCCTCCCTTAGAGAGAACTGCACTCTGCCAAATGCAGACCTACCCAGATCTAGGCATTTCCCACAGCTCTCAGTTTCCATTCTTGCAAATCTCAGCTCAATCCGAATGATCTCTGCAGGACAGATTGGAAGAGAGTCGAGCAGGGTGACCAGGGTATCATTGCAATGGAAGGAATATGTGCCCAATACATGCCTGTCGTGCAATAGCCATTGAATAAATTCATGTTGATGGGTGGGAGACATGACAGAGAGGCAGAATTCAGCACAATGTAAGGATGTACTTTTCAAGAAACCTCCTCAGACATCTGTCCTTTCAAAAGGGAGATGCCTGATTCCTGGAAGAGTTTAAGCAGAAGTTAGTGGTGACATCTTTGGGATGCTGTAGAGAGAATTTTAGAGTATGACTGGGTTCCATCCCTTGTTAATATATCTCCTGGCCCTATAAAAAGAGGGGATGAACAGCAGCCTCTCCCTAGTTCCTTCATCATGAGTAGCTTTGATCTGGTAAGAGAAGATGGACAGTCTGAGACCAACATGAATTTTAAAAAGTCAGTTTTAGTTATCTCACTCCTTCCCACCCATACACAAATAGGCTGCTTTGGTCTTGGAAGATAATAAGGGAAGAGACCCTGGGGCTTTCTCTAATTTGTGTCTGTAGCCCTTAGATGTATGCTGCGTGACTAAGAGCCTCCTGGAGTTTTACGTGAACAGAGTGTTCAAGGACCATCAGGAGGTGAACCCCCAAATCTTGAGGAAAATCAGCAGCATTGCCAACTCTTTCCTCTACATGCAGAAGGCTCTGCAGCAATGTGTGAGTCATTACATTGCTACTCCAAGCACCTGCTCCCATCTGCCCCCGAGAGAGCCCAGGATGAGCTGGCCCTAGTGGGCTTTCTGAAATGGTTCTTGGAGTCAAAGGAAATTCCCTGCCCCGTCTGTCCATGGGGAGAACCATCAAGAACCTCTTCCGGTTGTCCTCCTTGCCCAGAGCTTCCTCCCTGCCCACTCCTTGTTAGACTCAGGTTTCCTCATGGACAGTGCTCCTGGGGTGACCACTTATGTCAGAGTATCCCTTATGTGCTCCCAGGGCTGGCCTGTGAGAGGGGTATGCCAAGGATTACAGGTTTATCTTTGGCATAGCCCTAGTTTCTTTGTTTCTGGCCCTTCGGGGTTTCCATACCAATTAACCTCTGGGTGGTTCCCTGGTATAGCCTATCCCTAAGGATCCCCTGTGAATGCTTTGTTATCTGTTAAAATTGAACATCAGAAATAAAGCCAAACAGAAACTAACCGACAAAAACTTAGACCAAGAGAAATCTTGGGCTCTAGTCCCATCTCTGCCAATGATTTCCTATGTGACTTTGTAGCAAGCTACTTCACCTCTCTGTGCCTTGGATTCTAAAATTGCTAGAAAAAATCATGACCCCCACCCCATTTATGTTAAGGTTCATTGAACCAATTATTTAATTAACCAACCCAACAAATATTTATTGAGTACCTACCTTGCGGGGTGCTGCTTTCACAGAGTGGTGTCAAGACAGGCTTGGCATCTACTTTCCTAGCTGGTGGGCTGTCAACCCAGAAAAAGAAAAAGCCCTAGTCAACCACAGGGTGACTCCCCTGCTGCTCCCACCTGAGTTTACTCACCTGACTCTCACCTGGGGAGGAAGGAGAAATGTCACTCCATGTGGGGAGGTGGTGGAAAGGGCAGGGTGGGAAGGTCCTCTGATGGGTGCTGCCTCCACTTTATCAAAGCAGGAGCAGAGGCTGTGTCACTGTGGGCAGGAAGCCACCAATGCAACCAGAATCATCCATGACAACTACGATCAGGTAAGGGCAGAGGAGAAGATGGGGAAAATGGAGATGACAAGTCGGAGCCTGACTGAGAGTGCAGCATCTTCTGCCTCCTCTCCATTCAAATTAATTCATTTACTCAGCATGTATTTATTGCAGGCCTTCCCAGTTCTATGTGTCTGCAAAGAGTATGTTGGTCTTACCTTATTTGCTAATTTCCTGTGTTCCCCTTCCCCACCATCCCTTCACCATTTTCTTATGCCCTCACGTATTAGACCTAACCTGTGTTAGGTTTTGAGGGAAAACACATACTGCCGAAGATGGGGGTGACACAGAGGGAGCAAAGATCCCCCATGAATTGGAAGCTGTTATGCTGGAACATGTTACCTGCCAGGTATCACTGTGGCCTGCAACCATCATGAGTGTTCTGTGTAGTGCAGAGCATGCTTCTCTTGTAGATGTAGGTGCACGTCTCATACATAGGTGGTGGGAGAAATGGTGCTTCTTACGTGCATCGTTTAGAGATTTTGTTGAAAGACATGTTCTGGACTAGTAGGCCTGGAATGAGGCCTAGGATTCTGCTTTTGGACCACGCTCCCAAATGATGCCAATACTTTGAATAGCAAGGAGATGGGGAGTCTGTTCAGAACTCTGCTTCTTTGTGGAGAGGCTCCATAGGATAATGTTATAACAATGGCTAAGAGGCATATTGTTCTTATTATGAGCCAGGTATTGTTCTAAGCACACTACAGGTATTAACCACATTTATTCCTCACAACACTGCTATGAGCCATTATCTGCATTTGAAAAACTAGGAAATTGAGGCACAAACAGGTTAAATAACTTAGCTAAGTTCATACCTCAACTAAGACTCGATCCTATGCTGTCTGGCTCCACAGGACATACTTTTGGATCTTATCTTTTTTTAGTATACTGAGGAAGAGGTGGAGTAAGTCAGGAGCCTTGGGTTGTAGTTCCAGCCCTGCTACCAATCTGCTGTGTGACGTTGGGTAGGACACTGATCCTTAGGGACTTCGGTGTTTTTATATGTCAAATGGGGACAACACGCTCTCCCTACCACCGCACCGCACCTTGGGATTGAGACCTTCTGAAGCTAATGTGAAAAGGAAAAATAAACAGAAGAACTGTCCAGGAAGGCAAGGTGTTTTCTTTGTTTTTTTTTTTTTAATGTGTGTTTTTTTTCTGTGAAAAAGAAGGAAAAAGAAAAACAGAGGGCAAATAAGAAAGAATTGAAAATTTTCTTTACAAGTTGCTGACATGATTAACTGCTTGTTTGTGGAAAACAATTTGCGTTGCCTGTTGGGAAAATAATTTTGAGTCTGTATGCTGAGCAAATATAATTGACGGAGAGAAAGAAAGGCTTGTGAGGACCAAAACATGGGGAAAGTGATCTGAAAACAATTACGCAGTCTGGAAAGACAGGTTCTTATGATGATTTCCCTGGTTTCAGCTGGACGTCAGATCTGCGGCCATCAAGTCTCTGGGAGAGCTGGACCTCGTGCTGGCCTGGATTGGCCAGAATCATCAAGGAACTTCCACTGCCTGAGAACAAGAAACCTGATTACTCTGGGATGAACAGCCCTGTGAGGTTTCCAGTAGGAGACAGCCCGCTTTGAAGGGGAGGGAAATGGGGGAAGGTATTATTTTTATGCAAATATGTCTTTTTGAAGAAGTCTCTCTGCTGATTTAGAATCTCTCCGCTGGTGCTGAGGTCTTCTAGAGGGAAAATCTAGGTTGAGCAGATCTCACCCTGCAGCTGCAAGTTCCACTGGCTGAGCCCAGGCTCTCTCATCCCACCTGAAAGTAGCCTAATACCCTACTGTCATATTTATAATGAAACATGTCTATTGAAATGTCCTGTGAGCCATCCTGGAGGAAAAGGATTGGCTTCCCCCTAATTTATTGTGAAGTTGTTTATCCCATGTCTGTGATGTGAGCTGAGCGATATAGCCTGTAAGTACACATTGTACTGACTGATTTATTTGAATAAACTCTTTTTTTTTTAACAATAAGTGGAAGTATCTTCTGATTCAGGGAGGGTCAGTCAAGGAATCATGAACAGTGACTAGTAGAAATGAATGGGGGGGCCGGCCGAGTGGCTCAGCTGGTTAAGAGCTCTCTTGGGAGCGCCAGCTCTGAGCCGCAGGGCTGTGGTTCAGATCCCACATTGAGGGCCAGTGACACTGCCCTCTACAACTAAGATGATGAACAACAGCTCAACCTGGAGCTGGGCTGGCAGCCAGCGTGAGCAGCCGGTAGCCGGTGTGAGCTACCAGGAGCCGCTGTGAGTGGCCAACCAATGACCGGTGACCGATTGCCTCACCCAGGAAGAGCACAATGATCATGCCAACATGGGCCAGTGAAGCGACGTCCTCCACAACTAGACTGAAGAACAAAACAGCAACTTGTAAACCTGTCTGTTCCTCTTCCCTGATTCCCCAACGCTGTTCCCCTCCCCCCAATTCCCAATAAAATCTTAAAAAAAAAAAAGAAATGAATGGGGTCTTAAGGAACATAAGATGGGGAAACTGAGGCCTAGAGAGGGATAACAACTTACTGAGCCCCAAGGCAAGTTAGTGCAGGAAGGGTTTCAAACGGAATCTCTAAAGTCTTCTTCCAGCACCTTGTCCTCCACATGATGATTAAGAAGGTGAATGGAGGGCTTCTGACTACCGGTTCCTTGACGTCATTTCACTTCTGATTCTCCTCTTTGTCTGTGTCTTTGATTTTCCTTTCTGTCTGACCTTCTCTGTCTTTACCTCTCTCTGTCATTTCTTTCTTACTGCCCCCAACCTAGATACATCTTCCCTGACCTTAAATTCATCTCCATGGGTGTATGTATATACGTCGGGCTAGAGAAGGGTGTTGCTGACAGAGGGATGGTTGTCATGGTGACGAAGCTGAACAAGTACAGCCCCAGGCATGGGATATCCTGGGTAAAGTGGAGCGATGCCGAAATGGGCACCAACATTTAGATGGACACTCCTCAGGTGGTCAACGACAATCACAACTGACACACTGAGCATCTGCACCACGTGCCAGGTGCTGAAATAAGCACTTTCTATGCATTATCCAGCGTCAGTATCCATACGGTGACTGGCTAAACACAAAGGGGTTGGCTAAAGCACCCTTTATTCCTACCTGAGAAAGAGGTTTCACAGAGCGTGCTTCCGTGGACAGAGCAAGGCCTCTGAAGTCAGACAGACTGGTTCTAATCCTATGTGACTTTGTCAAATCACTTATGTCTCTAAGCCTTCTTCTGTAGAATGGAGATATAACACCAGTCTCAAAGTGTTGCTGTGAGCATCAGATGAGGTGAAGCGCCCCTCCTACCACCACCCCTGTAACCCCAGGTTGGGGAGGCTACAGGGTATTGCGTGAAGAGCACCAAGCCAGGAGCTAGTCTCATTCCAAGGTTTCTCCTGAATTCCTGGGGGCAGGTCACTAGATTTCTTTGGTTCTTAGTGGTCTGTAATGTGGACACTGACTTCTATATTATCTACTGTGTATGATAATTTAAAAGCCAGAATCATTCCAAAGGCCTAGGGAGCCGTCCTATCTGTACACACGGCCTCGCCAACTCCGTTTCCTCTAACCGTGCAGCCTCCTGTTTGCCTGGTTCTCACCAAGCCAGCCACACTGGCCCCTTTGTGTTCCTCACGCACAGCAGGTGTTCTCACCTTAGGGCCGTTGCACTCTGCGGGCATGCACATGTGTAAACTGAGGTAGGGTTAAACAAACAAACAAACCCCAGTGTTATGCTTTAATGGCATTGACAGGCTATTCAGAGGACCCAATCTGACCTTGGATGGACATCCATCCTGAGCTGGATGGATGATGGCAGGACCAGCTTCGTCATAGCATTTCTGTCTTTTATGACCACCCTGGGGTACGCCTCCCCCAGACACCTGCACCTCCTTCAGGACTTACTGAAAAGATATCCTGTTTAAGCCTGAAACCCCCAATTCCCTTTGGCACATCTTATA